AGCAGCATGGGGGGCTTTGCGTTCGCGCATGAGAAGCGCGCGGAACCGAACCGAGCGGTCGGCGGCGCCCGCTCCTGCGCCGCGCGCGAGGCCATCGCGTCAGCGCGGGAGGCTACAAGGGCCTGGGCCGTCGCCCTGGGGCGCGGGCACAGCGCGAGGCCCGCGCGGGTCTCTCGCGCCAAACATGCGCAACAAGGTCGGCCCGCCCGCCGGCCGGCGCTCGCGGGCGGCGCGACGCCGGCGCCGACTGCGAGGCCGACTGGGCCCGGAGGATTCCTGAGAGTCCCGGGAAGGGGCAGCGGGCCGCGATGGAATCGGCGCGGTCGCTGGCGCCCCCCCCGCGCCCGCCTCCCCCTGCAAGCCGACTCCTCCTACCGCGACCCCCCGCGGAGCCGCGGGGACCGGCGGCCGTGCACCAACCAGCTGATGCTCATGATCCGGATGCGGATCCCATGGCCGTGGAGCCCCCGCCTCCTCCCCCAGCGGAGTGGGGAGTCGATGTGATGGGGCACCGGCGGGCGTGCGCCTGTTATGGCCCAGCTTGCCGCGAACCTTTTTCCAAAGGCGATCTGCGAGCTTTCCGCCCGCGACAGACTGGGGCCCACCGCCAATGCTTTCATCCAGGCTGCGCGGAGGGAGGCCTCGGCCCCATCGAGGAGGTAGAGGGGGCGGCGGCGCTGCAGCCAGAACGTCTGGAAGAGCTACGCCCACACTGTGACCGACTGGGGCGGCCGACCCGAGACGAGTTCTTGGCCGCTCAGCGGGCTAAGTAGGCGGCGACGCACTCGTGCAGCCCCTGCCGCGCGGGCGGGGGCAGCCCGCGCGCCCCGAGAAGAGGGCAGCGACAATGAGGCCAACACCGGCTTCGCGGGCCAAGACGCGCAGGGGGGCGCCGACTCCGCGACGCAGGCCCTTCTCAACCTGGCGTGGTGGGACGGCATGACCTACGACGACTTGGCCACCGACGTCCGCACGTTGGGTCGCGTGCCAGGGCCCTTGACGCACTCGCTGGCCCTCTTGCGCGGAGCTGTCGCGACCGCTTTCGCGATCGCCGTGGAGTCCGCGGACGCCGACGCGGCCGAGAGAGCAGGCAAACTACACACCTGCTTCGACCGGATCCTCCTCTTCCGCCCGAACAGAGGGCGCGGCGGGCGGAGCACGAAGAACCAAGGCGGGCCCGCTCGGGTCCTCACCCGCCGGATCCGGCTGGATTGGAAGGGAGATTGGGGCGCCCTGTGGCGGGAGGCCAATGCCGCCGCAGGCGCCGCGCCTGCAGGGCGCGCGCGCCAGAGAACACCCCCAAGGACACGGCGCGGGCCGTCGAGGCTTTCTTGGCGGACGGGTTGGTCTCCAAGGCCCTCGGCTTGGCCACCCGGCCCGCTCCGCTGGTGACCGAAGCCAGCGCGCAGCCGGAGTTGCAGGCCCTCTTCCCGGCGGGCACTCCCGCCACGGCTGGGCCCCGGCAGGAGGTCGACGTGGAGACGGTCAACAAATTGGTTCACGAGGTGAAGTCGGCCATTCGTAAGGCTCCCAAGCGGTCCGGCCCGGGGCCCAATGGTTCCCGTTTCGAGCATTGGCAGACCCTTCAGGACGATGTCGAGGCGCTGGAGGCCAACGCCCGGGTCGCCGTCCTCCTCCTCCTGGGGGGCCTCCCTGACGCCTACACCACTGCTAACCTGGGAGCTCGCCTTCTCGCTCTCCGGAAGAAGAACGGGCGTCTTCGCCCGGTGGCGTGCGGGAGCGTCGTGCGCCGTCTCGCCGCCAAAGCGGCGCGCGCAGTGTTCCAGGAGGAGATCAAGGCTGCGCGTGGCTCGCACCAGTATGCGGTGAGTAGGCAGGCGGGCTGCGAACTGGTCCACAAGTGCGTGCCTGCGCTGGCTGAATCCCTTCCCTCAGCTGCCGTGCTCGCGTTCGACGCCTCCAACGCGTTCAACGCGATCCCGCGCCAGAATGTCCTCGCCACCGTGGCCAGGCGTGCCCCTGCTCTCCTCGGCGTGGCCAACGCGTGGCTCACCCGAGAAACGACCCACACCTACTGGCCCCGCGACGGCGCGGCGCTGCCGGTGCGGGCGCGGACCGGGGTGGACCAGGGCTGCCCGTTCTCCCCGGGGCTCTTCGCCATCGGAATTGTCGACGCCTTGTCCCGGGCCGACGCGAGACTGAAGCGCCTGCACCCCTCGGCTCGCATCTTCTCCTACTTAGATGACGTGGTGGCTGTGGTGCCCACGGGTCTGGCGGCCCAAACGTGCGAGATCGTGCAGGAGGAGCTGGCGGCGGCCGGGCTACCGTTGCACCCTGACAAGACGCGCAAGCGTGGGCGCCCGCCCAAGGCGCGGCGCTGCCGCAGCAGCTGGAGGCGCGCCGGGTCCCCGCCCTCACGGTGCTCAGGAACCCGGTATCGTGGTACGACCGCGACGACGACGAGGAAGGACGACTCCCTGTTCACGGCACGACTGACGGACGCGAAGTCCTCGACAAGACGCGGCGCTTCCTGCGGCACTGGCGACAGCTGCGGGACAACGGGCTGACAGCCGAGGGTGCCCGCGCACTCCTGCGCACATATGCTGAGGGGTGCGCTACTCATTTGCTCCGGACCAACTATGAGACCGCCTGGGCGGCGCAGCTGGATGACCTTCTGCGGGGCGCCTACGAAGAGTTCGCCGGCTTCGCCTTCGACGCCTCCCAGCGCGAGCAGGCCAGACTGGGATTGTCCGACGGGGGCTGCGCTTTCCCGTCAGCACGGGACACGGCTGCGCGCGCGTACCTGGGCAGCTGGGCCCTCGTCCTCCCCGGCGTTGCCGCTTGCCTCGGGGTCACCTCCCTAGAAAGCTTTCGGTCCAAGTGCCCGCGCGTCGCCCGGGACATGAGGAGCGCAGAAACCGAGCTGGACGCCCAAGGGGCGAAGGAGGGCCCCACTAGCTGGGGGAACTGCTTGACAGAGCCACGAGCCAAGCTACAGGGCTACTGGGCCAAGCGCACTTCCGAGCACAGGCGGAGACAGTTGCTGCAAACCCTTGGCGAAGACGACCGGCTCGCCCTCCGCGAGAGCAGCGGGACCTCGGCGGGGAGTTGGCTTCTCCCGCGCCAGGAAGGGGACGCGCCGATCCCTGACGCCCACTTCCACGTGGGCCCGCGCATGCGCCTCCGAGCTGACGTCTGCACACCAGGGGCGGCTTGCCAGCACCGCAAGCGAGACGGCACGATATGTGGTGCGCCCCTGGACCCCAAGGGCTGGCACCCCTTGAAATGCGGCTGCGGAGGCTCTCGCGACCACCGCCACAACAGCCTCTGAGACTGGAGTGCGCCCTTCCACCAGGCGCAGACGGGCCACATGGCGGTCACCGAGAAGCGTGTCCCTGCGTGGGACCGTGTGGACCCAGTCACCGTGGAGCTGGAAGAAACCCGCCTCGACGTGGCTACCCGCGACGCGACCTCTGGACAGCCTATCTATGTTGACTGGTCTGTCACCTGCGCACACTCTGACAACCTCGAGCGCAGGTGGGCAAGATCCAACAATGACGGGCTGGCCGCGTCGCAGGCGGTGGGCGTCAAACGGAACCGCTACCCCCCCTCGGGCGGCGAGCTGGTCCCAGCTGTCCTGGAGACGGGAGGGCGGCCGGCGGATGAGCTCGTCTCATTTGTCCGCTCGTACGGAAAATATTTGCCTGAAGCAGAGCGGTCAGCGGTCATCGCCACCGCGTGGCGCCGCATCCAGCGCACGTTGGTTGTGGGCAACGCCGAGATGATTCTCAGTGCGTGCTAAATGACCCACCAGCACTACGACCACCACGGCCACCACGACCACCACGACCACCACGACCACCACCAGCTGGGCCGCCCGGACCGCCACGGCCACGACCACCAAGACCACAACGACCACCAATGACCACCACGATCACCGCGAGCATCACGGCCACCACCAGGCCGGCCGTCAGCATTAAAACCACTACCACTACGACCACCACGGCCACCACGGCCACCACGACGACCAGCAGCTCGACCACTACCGGCTCGACCACCACGACCACGGCTTCCGTGGCCACCTTGGCTGCCCGCCCGCCCACCGCGACGGCCCCCGCCCCCCGGCCCCTTCCCCTTCCCCTCCCGGCCGCACCTGCTGCTCCCCTCCTCCTGCTCACCCCCCCACAGAGGGCGCGGGCAGCCTTCGGCCCGCGTCGCATCCCAGGGCCTGCCTCAAGACGAGGCTGGCCCGGGGCGCACTGGACCGTGGACGGTCCCCCTCTGGGCGGCCTCCAGAGAGCCAGTGGGGGCGCCATCCCCGCGACTGGCGGGGGAGGAGGAGGAGGGGAGGGAGGGAGGGAGGGAGGGAGGGGAAGGAGGAAGGAGGAGGAGGAGGAGGAGGAGGAGGAGGAGGAGGAGGAGGAGGGAAGGGGAGGGAGGAGGGAGGAGGAGGGAGGAGAAGGAGGAGGAAGGCGGAGGCGGAGGGTCCAAATCCGGATCATGTAGAGTCCGATCCGCAGGACCAGTCGAAAAAATGCAATCCGCGGATCGGGCTATGCAGACCTCGCGCAGCCTCATATGTCTATCGGGGAGGGCGGGACACCTGTTCACATCTGTTTCGGTGTGCCCGAAACCCGCGTCCGATGTTTTTTTTCCGAACGCGACACGGTGCGATCGAACATCTTTGGCGGCGCGCACAAGGGGGGGGAGGGGGGGAGGGCTTCTTAGAAGCACCCTGTTTCTTAGAAGGCGCAAGCCCCTGTATCTACAGATCAGGCCCGCGCCTGCTGAGAAGCAGGGGTGCTGCTACCTCCGCCCCCCTGCCCCACCCCCCTTCTGCGCATGGCTGACATTTTCGTTCGGAGCCAAAACGGGTTTTCATCCTGTCACGATTTCGGGCACACCACGCTGTTGTCGATCACGAGATCGGGCGCGCGTTCGGCCACACATTTTTCCGGTCACGTGCACTTCTGGCCGACCAGGCGCCGCGAGAAATGCGATCCGCACATTGGACTCTGCAAATCCGCTGAGGCCGATGCCCTCCACGTCGGGGTCGCCCCCGTGGGAGTCCTGGGCCCGCGCGGCGCCAGGCAGGGGCAGACGCAGAGGCGCCTGGGATGGCGCTCGGGGTCTCCCTCGGCGAGTCCCTCGGGGCCTGCGGACGCCTCCTCCGTGAGATGTGGAGCGAGGGGCTTCCCGCAGGCTAGATGTTTGTCCAGATCCACTGCGCCAGATGGCCTCCAAAACGCATCCAAAACGGCCAACATGGCCTCCAAGACGGCTCAGATGGCCCCAGTATGCCTCCAAGATGGCCCAAGATGCGTCCAAGATGGCCTAAGATAGCCTCACGATGGTTCGAGGCGGCCCAAGAGGCCCCCAAGAGCCCCCCAAGACGCCTCCAAGAGGTCCTCCAGGAGGGCGGGCCCGAAGAGGCCAAAATCATTGATGTTCCTTAGATTGCTGAAGGATGTTGGCACTCGCTTCTTTTCGGCCTTCCGAAGACCTCAAGACGGCCCCAGAGGCCCCCGAGATCGCCCCCAAATCGCTCACGAGGCCCAAGATGGCCCCAAAAACCTCCAGGAAGGCCCCAAGAGGGCCCCAAGACGGCGAATGAGGCCTCCAAGACGGACCCGAAGCGGGCCAATAGGGCCCCAAATCGGTTCAGAGAGGCACCCGAGACGGCCCCCGACGGCGTCAGACGGGCCAGGAACGCCATGAGTCGGCCAAACAAGCCCCTGAGACTTCCTCCTTTCCGCCCTCCTCCCCCTCGTCCCTCGTCCCTCGTCCCTCGTCCCTCGTCCCTCGTCCCTCGTCCCTCGTCCCTCCTCCTCCGCCTCCTCCTCCTCCTCCTCCTCTTCCTCCTCGTCCTCGTCCTCGTCCTCGTCCCCCCCCCTCCCGCTCCCCCCTGCCCCCCCCCCTCCTCCCCCCCACTCCCCCTCCTCCTCCTCCTCCCCGTCCCTCTCCCCCCCCCCTCCTCCTCCTCCTCCTCCTCCTCCTCCTCCTCCTTATTATTATTATTCTTCTTCTTCTTCTTATTATTCTTCTTCTTCTTCTTCTTCTTATTATTATTATTCTTCTTATTCTTATTATTATTATTCTGCTTCTTATTCGTCTTCTTCTTAGTCTTATTCTTCTTATTATTCTTCTTCTTCTTCTTATTATTCTTCTTATTATTATTATTCTTCTTATTCTTATTATTATTATTCTGCTTCTTATTCGTCTTCTTCTTAGTCTTATTCTTCTTATTATTCTTCTTCTTCTTCTTATTATTATGTGTATTCTTCTTATTTGTCTTGTTCTTCTTATTATTCTTCTTCTTATTATTATTCTTCTTATTATTCTGCTTATTCTTATTATTCTTATTCTTCGTCTTCTTATTATTATCCTTCTTATTATGATTCTTATTCTTATTCGTCTTCTTCTTATTATTATTCGTTTTCTTCTTCTTCTTCGTCTTATTCTTCTTCTTCTTCGTCTTCTTCTTCTTCGTATTAGTCTTCTTCTTCTTCTTGGTCTTCTTATTATTCTTCTTATCATTATTATTATTCTTCTTCTTCTTTTTCTTCTTATTCTTATTATTCTTCTTCTTATTCTTCTTCTTCTTCTTCTTCTTCTGCTGCTGTTTCTGCTTCTTCTTCTTATTATTATTATTCTTCTGCTTCTGCTTCTGCTTCTTCTTCTTCTTCTTCTTCCTCCTCCTCCTCCTCCTCCTCCTCCTCCTCCTCCTCCTCCTCCTCCTCTCATCATAATCATCCATCATCAGCATCATCAGCATCAGCATCAGCATCAGCATCATCATCATCATCATCATCATCATCATCATCATCAGCATCATCATCATCATCATCATCATCATCATCATCATCATCATCAGCATCTCATCATCATCATCATCATCACCATCATCATCATGATCATGATCATCATCATCATCATCATCATCATCATCATCATCATCATCATCATCATCCATCATCTCATCCTCGTCCTCCTCCTCCTCTTCCTCCTCCTCCTCCTCTTCCTCCTCCTCTTCCTCCTTCTCCTCCTCCTCCTCCTCCCCCTCCCCCTCCTCCTCCCCCTCCTCCTCCTCTTCCTCAATCCCCTCCCCCTCCTCCACCTCCTCCTCCTCCTCCTCCTCCTCCTCCGCCAATCACTTCTCGGATTGCCGTCGTCACAATAAAGGACGTGGACAACCGTGGCATCAGCATGTGCGCAGCACGTTTTCACCATCGAACCAAACAATACATCAGTGGCGAATGCTTTCCCGTTTCCTTTCTCGCACAATCCATTCGGTAACGTGACGAGGTGCACCATCTGAAAGTAAGTGGCTTGACCAAAACGGTCTTGAACCAAAGGGTCTCGACCCTCCGATCCCCGACACCCGCACGAAACCCGCCCCCCGTTCAGGACCCGTCCACTGCACGAAACTTCAGCTTAGGCTGACAGTCGTTCGTCTATCACGGCACCTCTCGCTATAACAGTCCCGCTCCTCATTCAACCGCCTCATGCTCCAATTGCTCCTGCTCTTCATCCCGTGCCGTGTCCATCGTGTCCCCCTCCTTCTCATCGTCCGTTTGTTCCTCCTCCCCCTGGATGAATACGTAGATACACACAGAGGTGGCTGTTTTTCGGGTAGCCTGTCGATGCTAGATCGCTCCTGCTACCTGGCGAAGCGCATCTGTTGGTTTCTTCACAGCTTCGGCGCTAGTTACGGAACCTCCCACGAGCTGCGGAAGAGTTCCAAATTGCGACCGCTGAAAGGAGCAGCGAAAAAGAAACTGGTCAACTCGTAGCTCCCAGCGAGGTGAAAAAATGCGCGCGGAAAGCGCGCCGCAAAATTTGATGCCATTGCTGCTGCGATGCCGCCCGCAATTCTCGCAGCGTCTGGGGGTGCATCCATTGCTCGTAGTCGTCTTTCCAATCGCCCAAGGCACGTCCGAGCTCTTGTTCACTCAGGATGTCGATGCTGGGGTCATTGCATATTTTCTCGCGGCGTCCGGTTGCCAATCTGATCAGCAGCTCCAATTCGACCTCGGCAGTGCAGTCAGTGACTATCCGGGAGGAATCCGACAGCGCCGTCAGAGAGGAGCCCGTGCCTTGACAGTTTGTCCCAAGAGGAAGTTGTGCGCGAGCCACTCCAGCACCTCGTCCGAGAGCTCGTCAATGGCAGCGGCAAAAAGAGGACATGCGGCAAGATGCCGGGGCGCAGGCTGTCCAGCTCTGCTGCTTCCTCCAGACTCAGCTTCGGCCGCGTGAGGACATGCAGCAAGATGCCAAGGCGCAGGCTGTTCAGCGCTGCTGGACTAGAGGACGGTGCAAGGACGCGCGGGAACAGACGCAGGCGCAGGCTGTCCAGCTCTGCTGCCGAAGCTCAACTCAGCTTCGGCGACCGAATCCCACAGAGAATCGAATGCGACGTGCGCGTCGGCCATCGTCGAAGCATTCTGCCATGCGCCTCGGTATCTGGCCAGTGCATCGGGCGCGATTGAAAGCCCAACTATGGCCCGGAATTTCCGCACCACGTCCTTGTTGAAGTGTAACTTGTCCATCTCTTTGTCGAACGGAGGCGAGCGGCCAGCGTCAATTGTGACGACGTCGCCCCCCAGCATTCCAAAAATGCAGAGGGGCGGGACATCCATGGAATGCCCATGTCTGGCCGCTCGGAGCACGCAACGCACAGCTCCAACAATGCACTTTCCAACCGCTTCGCGCGAGAGCTCAGGCTGTCTGAGCGCCCGGTCCAATGGAACGGCTAGGTCTGTGATCCAGCCGTTCCATTGACAGACAGGTTGCGCAGCGCTGTCCAGCTCAAAGGCGGAAGCTGCCGCGAGCATCCGCGGGTAAAATCCGCTGAGCCCGCGTTCTGCAAAGTACTTGGGCTCTGGGTCCGCTTCCTTGCGGAGCTTGAAGACCTTGCCAACGAGTGGGTGGCCATCGTTGAGATGCACGGCTTCCAGCAGGTACGCAACCTTGAATAAGCCGTGGCCACGGCACAGGGCTCTGAAGTGACAGCCACACACGTAGGCATCCAGGGTCGCTGGCAGAGGTGGCCGTCGCGTGTGAGTCCACTGCTGCACTTCATTTTGAACCATGGACACACGGATTTGCCAAGCGTCAGCAAACTGTAGAGGGCTGCTCAGGCTTGGGAAGACTCCAGCAGGCTGTGCAGCGCTGCTGTTGGAATTTGAATCATTTGGGCATTCAGACGACATGGCTGCACTGGCGGGAATGCGCGGAAAGCAGGAGACTGGCCAAAGACAAACGCACTGCCTCGAGCCCTGGGTTTCTACAGTCTTGCACATCTTGCTCCTGCCTTTGCTTTTGATGTTGCTTTTGCCTTTGCTCTGATGCTCTGTTATGCTTTGCTATGCTATGCTGGGCTACGCTACGATATGGTATGCTATGCTCGGCTATGTCATGAAAGGGTATGCTGCGCTTTGCTATGCTACGCCCTGCTATGCTATGCTGCGCTACGCTATGCTATGATATGCTACGCCATGTTATGCTATGCTGCGCTCTGCTATGCTCTGCTACGCTAAGCGAAGCCAAGGTACGCTAAGATAAGCTAAGCGAAGCTAAGCTTGGGAAACCCAGGGCGCACAACCCGACGACGACGACGACGTTGACGACGACGACGGCGACGACGACGACGACGGCGGCTGCCAAATGCGCAAATGTCGCCAGTCTTCGCCTCGCCCAGCGAGAAGTGGAACGGGCGGGCGGTGAATGCGAAGCGTCTGGGATGCATCGCCGATCGCCGCTGCCGCCGGGCAGAGGGAATAAATCCGACCCCCCTCCGCCCGGCAACCCCCTCGGCCGAGCTGGCCGGGGCCGTCGGGCGGAGGGGGCGACGACGACGACGACGACGCCGACGGACGACGACGGCGACGACGCGGCGGCGGCGGCGGATGCTGGGGCGATGCGATGGCGCCTATGGCGGGGGCGACGGCGGCGACTACGACGATGATTTTCGCCTCTAGGCCCGCTCCGCAATAGTTCGCATGGCCGCGGCCACAACACCTCGAAGGCTGTTCGGCACTTCAATCTGCGCAGCAGCTGTAACTCACTTG